CCCCCCCCCCCCCCCCCCCCCCGAAACACCAAAGACCTCACACACCTTCGGGCGGAAGAATACCGACGGCACCGAGAGCATGGACACCACCACCAACACCTCCGCCGAGCACCCCATCTTCTCCGAGAATATCAGCATCTTCGCCAGCGGCGGGTCCAAGGGAAACTCCACCATCTTGCGCCCGAGGGCGGTGAGGCCGCCGGTGTTGTCCAGGGCACCCAGGATCCACAGCTGGTACAGCGACGATTGGATGTTATCCTGCCCCGAGCGAGGTGAAATCGCCGGGAAGGTGTTACCGCCGGGGGGTGGTTGGAAGGAGGGAGTAGTAATTGCGAGCTTTTTCTCGGATGCATGCATGTGTGTGTCTGTGCCTTCTTGTGTGCATGAAAGTGTGCGTGTTTCTTGAATTTGCACACGCGTGTGTGTGTCATCCTAATTTCACCGGACGACGTCGAGTGTCACTCCTTTCGGTACATCGGTTTCTGGATGGCACAGGAGGAGGAGGCCACCACAAAGAGTCTTCTTTTCTCACCTCTGCTTCTGGGGGACATGGGGGAACATTACAAGGCTTTCAGGGGTAGCGTGCTACCTATGGACGGTCTTTGGGGAAAAGGGGGGGCCATGGGGGGCGTTTGACCACGGGTTGGAGCAAACGGCACTAATGCTGTGAGCGCTGATTTGAAGTGAAGACAAAAAAAAAAAAAAATGGGGGGCGTGTTGTCGTGCGACAGCAGGGGAAGGAGAAAGGGTGCAAAGGGAGCGTCGGGAGCTAAGGTAGATTGCCGTATATGGAGACACTCGCTGTGGTTTCCTCTCCAGCCCCTGGTATCGAAACCTTCTCTACCGCGAATATGTCTCCCGCGCGCTTGTCTGCACGCCCAGGTTGTCTACCCTCGGACGTACACCAAACGCATTCTCCAAGTCCTGAAAAGGTCTACAAAGAAAGATAAGGAAGCCCTGACAAACAAAAAAAAAGTACGGCAAAAAACAAAAAAGGGGAACCTGCGGGGGGGGGGCCGTGAAGTCAAACTCCAG